AAAAAAAAAAAAAAAAAAAGAAATATTGAACTACAAGCAATTATACTAGCACAAAATAAGACTACAGTATATTCAGTATTTATAGTACATACATAAAATGTTAAAGTTCACTACTTTACAACTACATCTATGAAAAATGTATTGAGCTAAGCTTATCAACAGTTTTTAATTTTTGCTTTTAATATGAAATTTCCATTTGTTACATTACTTCATTACCTACCACTATTTGCTAGCAAACAAGTATGAATGCAACTAGAGACTTAAGAAAAATTTGGAAAGGAAACTTTAAAACTGGGCACATTCCATCTAGTACTTTGATATATTTTTGTCTTGAAATTAAGACCTCAGAGAAACATCCTGATTTGCTCCCCCGCCTTCCATCTCCAGGGATATTCTTCCAGAACGCTCTTCTTCACTCCACCATTCAAAGCCCATCTAAATTCTTTTTTATCTTCTGATGTCCTCAATTCAGAAAAGCACCATCAGAGTATCTCTGATTAAATGTTGTTTTTCAAACATGAACATAGAGTGTGGCACACAGAACACAATTTATTAGTGTCCCTTTTCTGTGTCCTCAGGCACCTGGTGCTGATCTGTGCACTTACTGTGCTGGGGTCATTCTCAGTGGTCTCGCCCTCACCCTCACATCCCCTTCCTCTCAGTAAACTAAGCACCCTTGAAGTCACAAATCATGTCCTTATCATATGGCAAATGTTCCACAAATGTCTGGTAAAGTTAAATGAATTTAAAATATATTCTCTAGGCTCGGCACTGATAGCTCAAGAGGGTAGGGCACCAGCCACATACACCGGGGCTGGCGGGTTCAAATGCAGCCTGGACCCACCAAACAACAATGACAACTATAACCAAAAAGATAGCCAGGTGTTGTGGCAGGTGCCTGTAGACCCAGCTACTTGGGAGGCTGAGGCAAGCGAATCACTTGAGCCCAAGAGTTGGAGGTTGCTGTGAGCTGTGACACCATAGCACTCTACCCAGGGCGACAGCTTGAGACTCTGTCTTGAAAAATAAATAAATAAATAAACGAATAAATAAAATAAAATATATTCTCTAATTTCCAGATGTTCAAACGTTTAAAAAAATTGAACCATATAATTTAAATGCTATGTGGCAAAAACTGTCAGTGAGGTGTGTACATAGCATGATAGAATGCTGATAAGGGGCTAGCCATCTTCTATCTTGGAGGTGTTTGGCCTGGAATCTTCATATAGGGAGTGGCATTTGAGCTGTCCTTTGAGAAATGAGAGTAGGTTTACCAGGAAAACAGCAAAAAGGGTTTTCTAAGCTGTGCAGCAGAAGACAGAAGCTGATTAGCACCCTAGGGGGGGTCTGCTGTGGCTGCAGTGCTGGTTCCTGGCAGGGAGTAGCTGGCAGGGACCTGGCAGCCCTCCAAACCTGGACTTTATCACATGAGCAGGAGAATGACAGGATTGCCCGTTTTACTCCGTTCTCTACTCCCTCTTCTGCCCTGACCCCTCCCCAGCATAGCATGTTTACCACGTAGGAGAGTTGATCAGAGGTGTGACATGGGGACAAAACCAGATGGATGCAACCAACCCTCATGGGAACCAACGTGACCCTTAGGATGGTGTTCCAATGAGTGAGCAATCATCAGGCAAAACTGGGGCTACGTAAATCACAGGCTGAAGCAGAAGTCAAGAATGTGGTGGAGCCAACAAAGCAGGTTTCTTGGGAAAGGCAGTTTCACTCACTGAGATTCTGGCCTCCACGAAGCCCTCCCTGGTTTTCTCAGCCTAAAGGGATCTCTCTTTCCCTCCATGGAGCGTAATTCTGTGCTTATGACGCTTTGAGAATTTGTTCTTGCCCTGTAGTTGTCTGTTCTCATTGTTGGTACCACCCTTTTCTCTCTTTGCCTCATTTTAGAAGCTTATTATTTCATATAAGGCAGCTTTAAAAGACACCTTGGTTTTAAGATAGAGTATAAACTTTGTATCGATCAAGAATAAACATTGTGGTGGCGCCCTTAGTTCGGTGGGTTCAAACCTGGCCCGGGCCAGCTAAGCAACAATGACAAATACAACAACAACGAAAATAGCCAGGCATTGTGGTGGGCACCTGTGGTCCCAGCTACTTGGGAGGCTGAGGCAGGAGAATCACTTGAGCCCAGGAGTTTGAAGTTGCTGTGAGCTGTGCTGTCACAGCACTCTACCCATGGCAACAGCTTGAGACTCTGACTCAAAAAAAAAAAA